GGGGTGTCGCCGAGCCTGTCCCGCCGGCCGCGGCGCATCTCTCCCCGCGCGGGGAGCGGCGCTTTGCCATTTGGTGTCGGTGGTGCTTCGGCGAGGGAAGGAGAGATGGGGGGACGGCAGGGGGGACTCCGGCCCCGGGCCGCTGGGCGGCCGCCCTCCGCCCGGACACGCGCACGGCCTGGCCGGAGCGCGCCGGGGGCCGGGTCGGCTGGGGCCAAGGGGACTGGGAGGAAGGCCCCCTGCCCGCTGGAATGGGGTTACCCTGGGCTTCCTTCCCACTCGGCAGGAGCCGGTGGCGGGGCGCTGCTGAGCGCCCCATGGGGGCTGAACCGTTGGGGATCCTGGCCTTTGTGAGGTGGGAGTCCTGGCGGGGCGCCCACACTCACGCCTCTGCTATCTGGCCTAAAGGCTCCCCCATGTCCGCACCCCTGAGGTCGCCCCTGTAAAGTCGGCATGCAAACGTCACTGCGGGACGGTGCCTTGTGAATCTGGCCTTGTGAGTGAGATGTGGAGTTGGTTAAGGTGTGCTGTGAGTGCCGATCCCTGTGGCTCCTGCCCCTGGTGTTTGCATTAGTGGGGAGCAGGGGGGGCGGGGCATGTATGTATTATGTGCTGCGTTAGATGCCGGCCCATCTGTCTCCTCTGCTGTCTTCTTTTTGTAAAAGGCCTCTCCAAGAGTTGAGCACTCTGTGCTTTACACAAAGCTAGGTGGGTGTGCCCCTGCCCCAGGCCCCTAGAACGTCCAAGGCCTGTAGTTTTGTCACATGTCCATGCTAGAAGCACCCACAGGGGGTAGGGGTGCCCATGGTGACTCACACCTTCAGGTAAGTGGCAGAGTATGAGCTCCATCCACTGGCCCACCAAGCTGTGGGTGGTTGCAAGTATTAGCAGGCATTTGGTCCTGTGGAGTCCCTGTGTCCAGGCATGGGGGGTGAGTGGGACCTAAAGGTCAGTCCCTGACCTCAGGGGGCCACAGCCTATTTGGGAAACCAGACCTACCACAAGTGAAGCACAAGGCACATCAGACATGAGTCAGCCCTGTGCCAATTTATGGTGCAGGATAGGTGGCAATAGGCGTTCAGAGAAGAGAAAGATCCGTGTGAACAAGTGGGACCAGGGAAGGCTTCCTGGAGGAGGTGAGGCCTGAGCTGGGCTTTAAAGGATGAATATGATCTGGGCAGGTAGATGGGCAGTAGAGGGCATTGCAGACAAAAGAATATCAGGCGCCGAGGCTTAGAAATGGGAATAAGTGAGGAGTTTTGTTTTAGAGGTTAGTGAATAGGCTGGAGAGATTACCTCCCCAGGTTGCCAGCAGTCACAGCCACCTTCATGGCTTATGCCGACCACCCAACCGTCCTCAGCACCACTCCAGGACCCAGTCTGTGCGTGTGGATCTGGGCTGAAGCCCAGGTAGAAAATTGGTAGAAAGGGGATCTCTAGGTCCCCTGCTAAAGGGGGTTGGGGTGGGGAGCAGGTGGAGGAGGGACATCCTGGGCCAATGCCCTCTCTGGCCTTTCAGAGGACTGGCAGTGGGCCCTTAAATGGCCAGGGAGCACACCAGGGCCCAAGGGGAACCAGGGTGCAGGCAGAAGAGCCTCCCAAGGCAGAACACAGACTCAATTCTTTGTCCTGACCTCTGAAGGCATTTTGAAGAGTTGAAGGCAAGGACCCTCAGTGCAGTGCTGGGTCTTTGGGGTCTAACCTCAAATAAGTTTTTCAACAAATTACCCCAGACATTGCCCTCCCCACCATCACCACCTGGATTCTGACAGTGCAGCCCCAGGAGGCCTATAAACTTGACCAACGGTTGTCCCAGACGGAGGAGAGAGGGGTGTGGCCTCTGGGGGCATGGGCGGGGCCAGGGCTCCAAGCCTGGGGATCTCAGGACTTGCCCCTCCTGTTTCCTGTCCCTCCTTCACCCTGGACTGCCAGCTCCCTCCACACCCCCTTTCCGGGGCTCCCTCATACCCCCTGCCCTACCCAGCTCTCTTTGGGGTCTTCAGGCTGTCTCCGCCTCCCCAGCAGCCCCAGCTCCTCTCGGTCCCCTACCCCACACCCCATTCCAAAGCCATCAGGCCCTGCTTGCCTCACTCTCTCTACCCACCCACCCCAGCACCCACCCCAGCTCCTTGCCTTCCCCCTCACTTTTCTCTTCCTGTTCTCATGAGCCGGATCCACCTCCCTCTTTCCAAACTACATCCCCTATTGCTCTCACTTTCTCACATAGAGACAAAGGCTCGCAGACCCAGAAATAGACTCACACGGAGCTGGAAGACACGCACCCACACGCGCGCACCCGAGGCTCCCGTGGAGGGAGGCACACAGAGAAGGCGTTTGTCTGTGCACGCACGTAAACATCCACACCCACAGCCACCGCCGTGCCCACACAAGGGTGCAGACACACTCGGCGGGCGACACAAGGGCGCACACATCCGTGGACGCAGGGGGACACCGCCTCCCCGGCACACCCACCGCTGCCGCCGGGTGGGAGGAAGGCCTGGTCCCAGCTCGGGCTCCCCCCCATTCCTCCCAGCGAATGTTTCCCTACTTGGCCTGCCAGGTCTCTGGGGAAAGGGCCTCAGAAATGCAGCAGGAGCCACTTGGGGGAAAGTTGGAACTGACTGTTCCCTGCCTGGCCCTGCCGGCGGATTCCCTAACCGAGAAACTATTTGTGGCGAGAGCCGGGTGGCCGGCGAGCCCCCCGCCACCTCCCCTCGCGTCCCCTCCCCGCGCCGCCTCCCGCGGGCCCTCGGGCCGCCTCGGCTGCAGAGCCCGCTGCCCAGCGCCCGGGAGCCTGCGTGCCGTGCGGCTTATCTGCGCTGTTTGGACAGCGAGGGTTGGAAAGGCAGGCTTTTTGTCCCCGCCGAGTCAACAGGCAGACCCCGGGCCGCCGGACTATTTCTGTCTTATCAGTGCAGGAATGCGGCAGCCGCGGCGGCGGCGGCGGCGTGGGCCGTGGGCCGTCAGGGCAGCCCTGAAGGGGCCCCCTCCCCACTCCGCTCGAGTAGAAGTGTGAGAGAGCCCAGCAGGACTCAGAGGGGAGAGTTGGAGGAAAAAAAAAGGCAGAAAAGGGAAAGAAAGAGGAAGAGAGAGAGAGAGTGAGAGGAGCCGCTGAGCCCACCCCGATGGCCGCGGACGAAGTTGCCGGAGGGGCGCGCAAAGCCACGAAGAGCAAACTTTTTGAGTTTCTGGTCCATGGGGTGGTGAGTGGGGGAAAGTTAGCGGGGGAGGGTGCGCGAGCTGGCTCGGGCTGAATGGAGGGATGACCGGGAGGGGCCGGGAGGGGGCTCCCGTCCTTCCACCTCGCCGGCGAGGGCACCACGTCCCGCGGCCCAGCCCCAGGACTGTGCCGGCGCCCTGGCACCCGAACACGTCGTCAGGCGGCCGGCCGGGGATGGGTGCCCGGGCGGGGAAGGGAGGCGTTTGCATGGGTTCTTGTCAGGGGCTGTGGGTGGGACTTGGGGACTGTCCCCCCCAAGTGGGGGGGTCCCGTCTGTACCGGTCGTGTTTCCTTCGGTTCTTTCCCTCGTGGGCCCAGGTGTTCACCCTGCCATGGGGGTGGGGTGGCATGGGCTGGGCTGTCGGTTCATCCGTTGGGAGAGTGTCTCTCACTGTGTCTCAGGAAACAAGGAGCAGGTGACCCCTGGAGGCGCCGTGAGCTGGAAGCCCTCGGGCTGAACAGCCTCTACATCCAGTCAGGAGGGCTTGGGGGCTTTGCTGATGGCCTCTGCCATCAGGGTCAGAGAAAGGCCCTCTCTAGGGACACAACCCAAATTAAGGGGTCTGAGGATCCCCTGGGTGGACTCAGCCACCAGAAACTGATGACCTTAATGCCTCAAAGGTGTGAAGGAAGGACTGGAGGCAGGGACATGAGGCCTAGAGGCCACAGGGGAAGGACAGCACTGTCCTGCCAAGAGCAGGAGACACTCAGGGGGCACAGGGGAGCCCAGGGCTACCTGAGTGCTTGGGAGCCTCAAGCTGAGGGAGCAGGGCCCAGGTTGGGAGGGGTGTGGAAGGCAGTGGGATGGGACAGGCAGGGACTCTTGGACTTGGGATGGGTGCCGGGGTTGGAGCCAGGCATAGTGGAAGCAGTCAGGTTTGCTATGGCCAAATTTGGTTGTGACCCCACGGAAGGCACATTCTCATTGAGGGAGGCTAGAGTCCCCAGCATCTTGGGCCTTCATTGGGGGTGGCCCTGGTGGCTGCCTCAGCTCTCTGGAGCCTCTTCAGCAGATCAGCGAGTGTCACTGGCCTTGATAGATCATAGAGCAGCTGATAAGGAAAATGGGCGTCTTTGGGGTAGCCTGTCCTCCAGCCCTGGGGATCCTTGGAGTAACTTCCCAGGGGTGTTCGTATTGGTCAGCCGAGTTACCAGTCCTAACTTTGCTGCTTGGGGGATTCCCTTTAAAAAGGCCCATCTAGGAAGGAGAGAGGCTATGCATATGAATTGTTTTATTTGGCCAACTTAGAGCTTCAGTTTTGGGGTGGCTGTGAGCCTCACTGCCCCACTCCCAGTGCCCCATCTATGCTGGTGGGGGATGATGGGGCCTGGGCTCCATTACAGGCCAGCGCCCTGGAGGTGTGAGTGACAGGGTCAGGTGGGTGGGGGAGGAAGACACATGGACAGGCAAGTTTCACTGTGGGCGAGATGGACAGAGACAGCTGGCTGGCTGGGGGTTAGGGTTAGACAAACTGCAGGGCAGGAGGGAGAGTTGGCAGTTAGAAGGGCTTCACCAAACTCAGGGTCAGTGCTCTCCTGGTGCCTGCAGGCAGCTGCAATCCTAGGGGTAAAGTGTAGTGTTTAAATGGTAACAGGGGCACAGGGTTGCACCCCTTGCTCCCTGATCGCCTTCTTGCTCTCCCTGTCCCAGTCCCCATCCCACCCTCCGCTTTACAGCCCCTCAGGCCCTCCTCAATCCCTCTTCTAGAATTTGGACAAGTGGGGTTTAAAAAGCCTGTGGAACCCTTCACTTGATGAATTTGCATCTCATCTGCATCCCGTTTGAGCACCTGGGTAGTGTCAAGGGAATACACCTGCCTCATCTCTCCACGGCCCCCTTTGTACCCTGACTTGTGACCTCACTGGGGTGAGGTGGGAAGTAGAGGAGGTCTGTAGGATGGGACCATCTCTGGTGATCCAGGTGGACAGGAAGAGAGAGATGGGTGTAAGAGGAAATGCAGCTGCTTTTGACCTATCCAAGTCCCCTGGGCAGCTCACCTCCAGCTGGCTCCCCCCTGTCCTCCCAATCAGAGAATCTTGGTGGGGTTTGACCTCAGCTCCTCAGGTTGCCTCCAGTCCCACCTCCAGGCCTCACCTTGGGAGCAAATTATGGGGGTGGGCTGAGTCAGCGAAGCCCCTGGTGGGGAGGCTTGCCATCAGCCAAAAGGGGTAGGGGTTGGGGCTGAGAGGTCCATGGTAGGCGCCCAGAGAGAAGAGTGGGTTGAGACCGGGAAGGGAGAAAGAATGCAAGGCAGGACGGCCCAGGAAGTGGACTAGGAAGCAGGGAGTGGATAAAGGAGCGACAGGAGTCCCAGCAGGGAGCCCAGCCCCTAACCTAGGGGAAGTAGCAGACAGCAGAAAGCCCTGGCTTTTCAGGAACCGGCTGCTCGGTGCTGCCTTTGCCAGGAGGAGCTGCGTGACCTTGGCTAGGTCGCTTTTCTCCTTGAGCCACGGTTGCCTCATCTGTCAAGTGGGGATGGAAGGACCCGCTCAATCTGTCTTGCAGAGGAGCGTGTGGATGTGCACATCCTTTGAAAAGGTTGAAAGGCGCCATTAATATTCATTTTCGCGGGACCTTCCGCAAATCCGACGCTGGCAATGCCCTGTGCAATTGCCTGGCTTCAGTTAGCTTCCTGCAGCGAGACGCAAAGCCCCTCCGCGAGAGCCGCGCGGTTCCGGCGCCCCCACCCCTCCCACCCCTCGCTCACGCCTGCGGCATCAGGGTCACCAGCCGGGGTTTTGGGGTGGGGGAGACGCGGCTCACCGCGCTTGGAGCGGGGCCCTGGTCTGACCCGCGGGCTCCTGTTTCTGCTTCACCCCCGTCCCCCCCGCCTCCCCAGCGCCCCGGGATGCCGTCTGGAGCCCGGATGCCCCACCAGGGGGCGCCCATGGGCCCCCCGGGCTCCCCGTACATGGGCAGCCCCGCCGTGCGACCCGGCCTGGCCCCCGCGGGCATGGAGCCCGCCCGCAAGCGAGCAGCGCCCCCGCCCGGCCAGAGCCAGGCCCAGAGCCAGGGCCAGCCGGTGCCCACCGCCCCCGCGCGGAGCCGCAGGTGAGTGGGACCCAGCGCGGAGGGGGCGGGCCGCAGGACCCGCAGGGACCGGGTGGGCGAGGAGCGGGATTGGCAGAGGCGAGGAGGCATGATCTGCAGGGAATGAGGCGTCCTGGGTGGGATACCCTCTTGGGAGGTGGGCTGAGGGGGCACCGCTCTGGTTTCTTTGTGTGCCCACCATAGACAGGCTGCGGCCGTCGTGTCCTCCTTGTCACCTGCTCGACCCTCTCTCCACCCCTTGTCCCCAGGTTCTGGGTGATGCTTCAGTCTTTGGGGTGGGTGGACTGGCAGAAGGACTGAGGGCAGAGCTTTGGGACTGTGTTTCTCGAAGTGTGGTTGTCGGGTGCACCCTCCCCAGAACCCCTGGCTTGACTGTTTAAAAGCCCCACTCCAGATCTCAGAAATCTGAATCACTGACCAGGGAGCCTGGGAATTTGTCCTGTGTGAGTGTGTGCGGGGGGGTCTCTGCTCACTCGTGCTTTCAGATGATTCTTAGGCACGCAAAGATCGAAGGGCTGTCATAATCTACTCTGGATCAGGTCTGCCCCCAAGCCACCAGGGGCCAGCCCATCTCCTTATGGGAACCAACTGGTGGCACCCCCAAAGCCCCTGCTGGTGCCTGGCAAGAGAGGTGCCCCTTTGGGTTTTACTGTTTAGCCAAACACACATGCTTCTCTTTGCACACCAGATGGGCGCCTATAAAATGTGTAATATGGATTTTACCTCATTATTTAGTATTTTTTACACATCAAGGAAAATTCTCTATTTATAGGACTACTGTGATGAATTCTCTTACAAAGTGAATTGTCCTGTTATACAGTAAACAAGGCTCTGATTTATCTTGTATAAATGGAGAGTTTCACACAGACAATTTGTTCAAAACAAATCAAGACCATTAATGAAAGATGCTAGCCTAGCCTTAGAATTTTGGACAGGGAGGGGCAGTGGTTGAGAACACCACATGGGGGCAGTATAGAGCCATCCTCTGGGCTGGGTTCTAATCTCAATTCACCAAGGATTTTCTGGGGTGCTTTTGGGAGTCAGAAGCAGCTAGCAGGTCAAAAAGAGCCCAAATCCAGCCCACAGTCATGTCCCACAGGAGAACATACACACACACTCTCCGGGTCCCTACGGGTGTGTCCCTGGGTCCTGTTGGTAGGTGGTCCAAGATAGAGCACCCCTGCCTGTCAGCATCTCCTTCCAAGCCCAGGGTAGCAGTGGTACAATCCTCACCAACTTCACACTGTCACCTCCTGCTCCAGGGGGTCAGCTCCCTCCCGCTGAGCTCAGGACACCTTAGGTGGTGCACCCCTGCTTAGCAGTACAGAGAAATCCTCAGAAGGTGTCCTCCTCCCTTCGCCTGTCCCCCCTCCTCCCCAGCTCCCCTCAAATACGTCGGCAGCTCTGCCCCACCACCCCCTTCTAAATCTACATTTCTCTGGCCCTGAGGATGTGGTGGGGCAGAAGGGGGCTCCCAGGCCAGAGAATCGACAGGGTCACCTCGGCTCCCTGTGAGAGGGCAGAGCATCCATGCCACACACCACTGTCATAGCCCCTTGGGCGGGCAGGCTAGCGGGCTGTGGGAACCCCAGCCAGGCG